CCGAGTGGGCTTGGGAAGCCCACTTCGGATGTGTGTTGGTGGGCTGCGGTGAGAGGGGAGTCCGCACCCTCTACCGCTGCAGCCGAGGTCGAGTCGCGGAGGAAGAGGAGTGTTGGTATGGCGATGCGCCACTCGCCCTATCCTCCGCGACTCAAACGGGGCCGCACCGTTGATGCGGTGGTGGTGGGGCCGCGGGGGGAGAGGAGTGTCGATATTGCGAGGCGCCGCTCTCCCTACCCTCCGCGGCCGAAACTTGGTTGGCGGCGGAGCCCGAGACCGGATCCGCCGCTGGGGTCGGGAAAGCGGGCGCTATTAAGCGCTCGAATTTCCGGGCCCCATGGCCTCCGCGTATCGGACTCGGGGGGGTCCGATACGCAGGTGGAGTTGGAGGCTGTGGTGGGGGGTAGCTGAATACCTCGCTACCCCGTGCAGGAGACGAGGCCCGGACAGACCGTGCCAGCACTAGTGTGGGGCTGCGGAAGAATTTGGATTCCCGCGGCCCCGCGCGCACGTGCGAGGAGGCACCGTGGGGTTTTAGCCGGAAGGAGTCCGGCATAACCTTCCGGTTGCCCCCGAAGCCGGAGGTATCCATGAGGATTTCCCCACGAAGAAAAAAAAAAGGTTAAGGTTAGGTTAGGTTCCCCCCCGAACGGGTTCCCGCCTTGTCGTGGCGGGGGGCTTAGTAGCCGTGGCTTGGTCACCCACGGTGAACAAAGAGGAACCCCTTGGCTGGCCCGAGGTGTAGGGCCGGCCCGAGGTGGCCACTCCGAGTGGGCTTGGGGAGCCCACTACGGATGTGTGTTGGTGGGCTGCGGTGAGAGGGGTGTCCGCTCCCTCTACCGCTGCAGCCGAGGTGGAGTCGCGGAGGAAGAGGAGTGTTGGTATGGCGATGCGCCACTCGCCCTATCCTCCGCGACTCAGACGGGGCCGCACCGTTAATTGGTGCGGTGGTGGTGGGGCTGCGGGGGGAGAGGAGTGCCGGTATTGCGAGGCGCCGCTTTCCCTACCCTCCGCAGCCGAATCTTGGTTGGCGGCGGAGCCATAGACCAGATCCGCCGCTGGGGTCAGGAAGGCTGGTGCTACTGAGTGCTAGTTTTCCTGGCCTCATGGCCTTCGCGCATCGGACACGGGGGCGTCCGTTGCGCATGTGAAATTGGAGGCCGAGGAGGAGGGCGCGCCATGTGTTCTGGTGCGCCTTACCTGAGAGGGAGATGGGGGAGGAGTAGTCCTCTCCCGAGGAGGGGCCGCCATGGAGTGGCCAGCGCAGGTGGGGCCGCGGAAGTGTGCGAAAGCGTTCCCGTGGCCCTGCCAATATGCGACGAGGGTGGAACACCATGGGGTTTTAGTCGGTGCGAGTCCGACATAACCCGTCCTTGCCCCCGCGAGGCGGGTATGCGTAGGCATTTCCCCATGTAAAAAAAAAAAAAGGTTAGGTTAGGTTAACTCCACACGGGGGGGAACCCCCGTGTGTAGTTGCCAGAACTCCCATCGGGCGCGTCCCCAGGTGGCGGATAGGGGAACGCCACTCAGATATGAGTGGTAGCGGGAAACCGTCGCGGACCAAAACTGGCTGGCTGAGGGCTTGTTTGGATAATGGAGGGCCTTCTAGTTGCTTCCTGTATCCTCTCCGTTGAGAGGAACAGAGAATGTGACATGCGCGGTGAGGTGCCAGGTGCACTCGGCTTTTGCCGACGCCGGGCAACCCATAATTGCGGGATTTTCAGGGACCACACGCTGTAAAAAAAAGGAAACTGAATGGGCTCAGTGTTCCCTCACCCGGTCTCTGGGCAGGCATGGGAAGAACCCATATCGACTCTGCCACCATTCGAACCTCGGAATCCCTCTGGCGTGTCGTGGATCTCGTCTCGCGGCGCCTTAGGGGCCGAGGGCTCTTGGCTTAACCGCCTGGAGTCGCGAGGATGATAACCTCTTAAAAAATCACCCGAAGCTCAAGCGTGACACGCCGTGAGGAGCTGCATGGCTGATGGGTAAATGTTCAGTCGTTAGCGTTGCCCCCGTCGGGGTACCGGCCGACACCCTTGACGGGTTACGCATAGGCTTATCCGGGCACAGGAGGCACTGCTCGGATGGACTGCTATTTCCTCCACACTCGTGGGATAAAACATGAAAAAATATATAAACATTAAAAACGTAGAGGTTGAAAAGGAGGCAGTATCAGATACTGGAAGCGGTGGAAATCGGTCGCGTGGGACGTCTTCCGCTAGGAAACGTCCAGTGTGCCGGTCTTCAGAAGAGGAAGGCCTGCCGGCTCCCAAGTTGCCGACTTCGGGGAGGGGTCGGCAGGCATCGAGAGGGGCGAGTGCTTCGCAGCCGCGGAGGGATAAGCACGGACGATTCGTGTGCTCCAATACCTCGGCGGCTAGTGAAGCAGAGAGCGACATGGGGTTCACTACGGAGGACCCTGGCGATGGCGGTGAAAGCTGTGCCTCGCTGGGGAGCTCAAAGGCGGAGCTCAACGCCGCCAAGAGGGAGCAGCGTAAAGCCGTCGCGGCCGACGAAGTGTCGGAAATGGCCCGACGTGCTCGCGAGCGACGAGCTGCTCTTGCGGCGGAAGGGGGAGAGCCATCTGCGGTGGCCTTAAGCCAGCTGGCTCTGGATGGGGTGGACTTAGTCCTGAAGGTTGCCACCAAGTCTGGCAGCCTGAAGGGCACGTTCACCCGTGGCTTAAAGGAGGCTGCCGCGGATATTAGGGAGGCGGTTGGCATCCTCCTCAACAGGACGGCCTCTGACGAGGTCGCAAAGTTACAGGAGGAAAACAGCCGCCTCAGAAATGACTTGGAGGACCTCCGACGGCAAGTCGCTGCGCTGAGCGAAGAGCAGCAGCGACGCACGTCCACCGATGCCGCACCTGTAGTGGCCCCGACTCCCGCACCGCGACCGGTAAGCCCTCGTACCGACGAAGAGGTCGAGCGCATTGTCCGGATCTGCATGCTCCAGTGCGGGAGCATGGTTAATGCTTGGCTGGAGGCGATTTCACGGCATCTCCCGGCGGAAATCCTCCGTCCGCCTTTGGCGGCGGACACTCGGAGAACTGAGGAGCCGCCGAGACTTGCGTCTCAAAAGGGGAAGCCCGCGGAGGGCAATAAAAAGCCCGCGGAGGGAGCTCCTTCGAGCGAGCAGCCCACGACTGTCGGGTCTAAGGGTGAGACCTGGGCAAAAGTCGTGGGCCGCAAAAAGGCCCGCAAAGCCGCCAAGAATGCCGCAGCAGCTGCATGTGCCCCAGGCGGAACCGCAAATACGGCTCCTCAACCTGCGCGGCGGGCTGCCAAAGGCGGTCGCAAGAGACCGACTGTGCACGTTCCGCGGTCCAATGCCGTGACGCTTACGTTGCAGCCCGGAGCTGTGGAGCGTGGCGTGACGTACCAGTCGGTCATCGCTGAGGCCAAGGCCAAGATCAAATTATCAGATCTTGGCCTTCAGTCCGTCACCCTCAGGCAGGCTGCCACGGGTGCACGGCTGTTCGAGGTGGCTGGCACTGTGAGCAGCAGTGCCGAAAAGGCGGACGCACTGGCCGCCAAAATGAGGGAGGTCCTCAACCCTGAGGACGTCCGGGTCTCCAGACCAATGAAAACCGCAGAGGTGCGGATTGCTGGCCTGGACGACTCCGTGACCTCTGAGGAGGTGGTGGCGGCCGTTGCCAGAAGCGGAGAGTGTCCACCGGACAAGGTGCGGGCTGGCGATATACGCACCGACGCCTCCGGACTCGGCATAGTCTGGGTTCGGTGCCCTGTGGCGTCGGCGAAGAAGATCGCTGATAGCGGCAGATTGCTGGTAGGCTGGGTAGCGGCGAAAACCAAGCTTCTACAGCCCCGGGCTTTGCAGTGCTTCCGATGCCTGGAAAAAGGGCACGTCCGGGCGAAGTGCACCGCTGAGGTTGACCGTAGTGACCTCTGTTTTCGCTGCGGCCAGCCTGGCCACAAGGCGGCCCTGTGCACCGCGGCGTTCAACTGCAGCCTTTGTTCTGCTGCGGGAAGGCCTGCAGAGCACAGAGTAGGCGGAGGGGCCTGTGGGGCGCCTGCCAGCAAGGCCAAAAAGAAAAAGGAAAAGAAGAGGAGCACTAAGCCTGCCGGGTTAACCTCGCTGCTCCCGCAGGCTAGCAGCTCCGCGGCCGACTCCCGGCCCAGGACCGTTGCCGAGGGGATGGAATGTCAATAATGGCACAATTCCATTCTCTCCATTTTCTCCAGGGCAACATCAACCACTGTGCCAGAGCTCAGGATCTCCTACTCCAGAGCATGGCAGAGTGGTCGATTCACGTGGCTGTGGTCGCCGAATCGTACTTCATTCCCGCCCGTGACAACTGGTTGGGATGCGCTGACGGTTTGGTGGCCATTATTGGCGAGACTCTGATCGACCCGTCTCGGGGCCGCGGCTGGGTTGCTGCGGTCTCGGGCGGCATCGTTATTGTAGGGGCGTATTTCTCCCCCAACAAGAGTCTCGCCGACTTTGAGGGTTTCCTTGTCGAGTTGGGCGCCGTCGTAGGCCGTTATTACCCTCGTCCCGTTCTGGTGCTCGGGGATCTCAACGCCAAGTCATCGGCGTGGGGATCTCCGGTCACTGACCCTCGGGGCGAGGTGCTAGAAGAGTGGACGGTGACGACTGGTCTGGTCGTCCTGAATCGGGGTTCGGAATACACGTGCGTGCGGCAGCGGGGTGGGTCGATAGTGGACGTCTCGTTTGCTAGCCCCTCTGTCGCCAGCCGGGTCCGCGAGTGGCGTGTCGCTGCAGAGGTGGAGACGCTGTCGGACCATCGATATATCCGGTTCGACGTCTCTGCCCAGACTGCGAGCGGCCGCCATCCAACAATCCCGATTAACGACGGCCCGCGTTGGGCGCTTAAGCGCATCGACAGGGAACTACTCGAGGAAGCTGCCCTAGTTCAGTCCTGGATCTGGGAGTCGACGACGGACGGCCCCGTCGACGTCGAAGCGGTGGCGCTATGGTTTCGCGGGGCGATGACGCAGTTCTGCGACGCGTCAATGCCCCGTGTCCGCCAACGGTCCGCAAAGCGCCAGGTGTACTGGTGGACCGCCGAGATCGCGCAATTGCGCATAGCGTGCGTTGCGGCTCGTCGCCGGTACACCCGATACCGGAGGCGGCGTCGACGGGATTCCGCCGAGGAGGACGCGCTGTATGAGGTGTACCGCGTGTCTAAGGAGACTCTGTGGCTGGCCATCGGCGACTCAAAGTCGCGTGCCAGGGAGGAGCTGCTGGGGTCCCTAGATCGGGATCCGTGGGGGCGCCCCTACCGTTGGATACGGGGCAAGTTGCGTCCCTGGGCGCCTCCACTAACACAAAGGATGCAACCCCAGTTGCTAGAGTCGGTGTTATCGACTCTCTTCCCTGAGCGAGTGGGACACGTTCCCCCGGCGATAGCTTCGCCCTCAGCCACAGACTCTCCAGAAGAGGAGAGCACCGATGTCCCCGAGGTGACGCAAGCAGAGACGAGAGTGGCCGTGTCGCGACTCCGGGCTAAGAACACAGCGCCCGGACCCGACGGAGTTCCTGGTCGAGCTCTCGTCCTGGCTCTGAAGGAGCTAGAGCCCCAGCTGAGAGGGCTCTTCACGGCATGTCTCGAGCAGGGTCAGTCTCCCAGTGTGTGGAAGGAGGGGAGGCTGGTCCTGCTCAGGAAGGAGGGGCGCCCCGCGGACTCACCGTCCGCGTACCGGCCCATAGTGCTACTCGACGAGGCGGGCAAACTTTTTGAGCGTATCATCGCAGATCGCCTCGTCAGCCACTTGTGCAGAGAGGGGCCGGACCTGGATGACAACCAGTTTGGTTTTCGTTGCGGGCGCTCCACCATAGACGCTATTACGCGCGTGAGGGCCCTGGTGGAGGAGACAGTATCCCGGGGTGGCGTAGTCCTGGCGGTGTCCTTAGACATCTCCAACGCCTTCAACACCCTACCCTGGAGTTGTATTCGGGAGGCGCTGAATTACCATCGCGTGCCTCCCTACCTCCGCCGCACAATAGGGGCTTACCTTGAGGAGAGATGCGTTACCTATTGGGGACGTGACGGCGCTGGTCGGCGCGTCATGTCGTTCGGTGTTCCGCAGGGATCGGTCCTGGGACCGCTCCTGTGGAACATCGGCTACGACTGGGTGCTGAGAGGTGAACTCCCGTCGGGCGCCGACTTGACGTGTTATGCGGACGACACGCCCGGGGGAGTTCGCACAGGGAAGCAGCGTTGGTTTCCACGGCTGCGGTGTCACAAGTGGTGAACCGCATCCGGCGCCTGGGCCTGGAGGTGGCCCTAAGTAAGTCGGAGACCATGGTGTTCCATGGCCCTCGACGCGCGCCGCCGCCGGGTTCACACATCGTGGTCAGCGGGGCCCGGATAGCTGTCGAGTCCACCATGAAGTATCTGGGATTGGTGCTCGACAGCCGATGGGAATTCGGACCCCACTTCCAGCGGCTGGCGCCCAAGCTGATGGGTGCAGCGGGCGCGCTATCAACGTTGCTTCCCAACTTGGGGGGCCCGAGCGCCGCCTGTAGGCGGTTGTACGTGGGAATCGTGCGGTCCATGGCCCTGTATGGGGCCCCTGTGTGGGCGATGGACATGACGGCCAGCACTCTCGCCATTCTGCGTAAACCGCAGAGGGCGATGGCCGTCAGAGTCGTCCGCGGGTATCGCACGATTTCCTACGAGGCGGCTTGCGTCCTGGCCGGATCCCCGCCCTGGGACCTAGAGGCGAAAGTACTCGCGTCATTATATCGATGGCGCGAGGAATGGCGGGCACGGGGCTCGAGGCAGGTGCAGCGGCAGATCGCGCTGCGCCGAGAGGAGCTCCGTCAGGTCTTGGTGGCGGAATGGCCGCAAAGGCTTCTGCGCCCTACCGCCGGCCTCGCTACCGTCGAGGCGATCCGGCCAGTACTCGACGACTGGCTCGGGAGAAGGCACGGCTCCCTGTCGTTTAGGGTGACGTAAGTGCTGTCGGGGCATGGCTGCTTCGGCAAGTACCTGCGCCGCATAGACAGGGAGCCGGACGCTCGGTGCCACCACTGCGTCCATTGCGGAGAGGACACGGCGCAACACACGCTCGCCGAGTGTGTAGCTTGGGAGGAGCAGCGCCGTGTCCTCACAAATAAAGTAGGAGGCGATCTGTCGCTGCCGGCCTTAGTGCGGAAGATGGTCGGTAGCGCAGAGTCGTGGGATGCGGTGGTGTCCGTCTGCGAGGACGTGATGTCGCAGAAGGAAACTGCGGAACGGGAAAGGCAGATCTCGACTCCCTTCCCTGGCCGCAGAAGGCGCACCGGGCGCAGGAGAAGGGCGGACAACGCCCTTTTCCGGCCCCCATAAATGGGTCACACGGGGTAGTTGAACACCTCACTACCCCGTGCAGGAGACGAGGCCTGGACAGACCGGGCCAGCACTAGTGTGGGGCTGCGGAAGAATTTGGATTCCCGTGGCCCCATGCGCACGTGTGAGGAGACACCGGGGTGGTTTTAGCTGGTAAGAGTCCGGCACGCCCCTCCGCCTTTCCCCAGGCGGAGGTAGTCCATGAGGATTTCCCCCCCTAAAAAAAAAAAAAAAGGTTAGGTTCCCCCCCGAACGGGTTCCCGCCTTGTCGTGGCGGGGGGGCTTAGTAGCCGTGGCTTGGTCAACCGCGGTGAACAAAGCGGAACCCCTTGGCTGGCCCGAGGTGTAGGGCCGGCCCGAGGTGGCCATTCCGAGTGGGCTTGGGAAGCCCACTTCGGATGTGTGTTGGTGGGCTGCGGTGAGAGGGGAGTCCGCCCCCTCTACCGCTGCAGCCGAGGTCGAGTCGCGGAGGAAGAGGAGTGTTGGTATGGCGATGCGCCACTCGCCCTATCCTCCGCGACTCAAACGGGGCCGCACCGTTGATGCGGTGGTGGTGGGGCCGCGGGGGGAGAGGAGTGTCGGTATTGCGAGGCTTCGCTCTCCCTACCCTCCGCGGCCGAAACTTGGTTGGCGGCGGAGCCCGACACCAGATCCGCCGCTGTGGTCGGGAAAGCGGGCGCTATTAAGCTCTCGATATTCCGGGCCCCATGGCCTCCGCGTATCGGACTCGGAGGGGTCCGGTACGCAGGTGGAGTAGGAGGCTGTGGAGGGGTGTAGCTGAACACCTCGCTACCCCGTGCAGGAGACGAGGCCCGGACAGACCGGGCCAGCACTAGTGTGGGGCTGCGGAAGAATTTGGATTCCCGCGGCCCCGCGCGCACGTGCGAGGAGGCACCGTGGGGTTTTAGCCGGTAGGAGTCCGGCATAACCTTCCGGTTGCCTCCGCATCCGGAGGTATCCATGAGGATTTCCCCACGAAAAAAAAAAAGGTTAGGTTAGGTTAGGTTAGGTTCCCCCCCGAACGGGTTCCCGCCTTGTCGTGGCGGGGGGGCTTAGTAGCCGAGGCTTGGTCAACCGCGGTGAAAAAAGAGGAACCCCTTGGCTGGCCCGAGGTGGCCACTGAGTGGGCTTGACGAGCCCACTTCGGATGTGTGTTGGTGGGCTGCGGTGAGAGGGGAGTCCGCACCCTCTACCGCTGCAGCCGAGGGGGAGTCGCGGAGGAAGAGGAGTGTTGGTATGGCGATGCGCCACTCGCCCTATCCTCCGCGACTCAAACGGGGCCGCACCGTTGATGCGGTGGTGGTGGGGCTGCGGGGGGAGAGGAGTGTCGGTATTGCGAGGCGCCGCTCTCCCTACCCTCCGCAGCCGAATCTTGGTTGGCGGCGGAGCCATAGACCAGATCCGCCGCTGGGGTCAGGAAGGCTGGTGCGTCTGAGTGCTAGTTTTTCCTGGCCCCATGGCCTCCGCGTATTGGACTCGGGGGGTCCGATACGCAGGTGGAGTTGGAGGCTGTGGAGGGGGGTAGCTGAACACCTCGCTACCCCGTGCAGGAGACGAGGCCCGGACGGACCGGGTCAGCACTAGTGTGGGGCTGCGGAAGAATTTGGATTCCCGCGGCCTCGCGCACACGTGCGAGGAGGCACCGTGGGGTTTTAGCCGGTAGGAGTCCGGCATAACCTTCCGGTTGCCCCCGCAGCCGGAGGTATCCATGAGGATTTCCCCACGAAAAAAAAGGTTAGGTTAGGTTAGGTTAGGTTCCCCCCCGAGCGGGTTCCCGCCTTGTCGTGGCGGGGGGGGGGGGGGGGGGCTTAGTAGCCGTGGCTTGGTCAACCGCGGTGAACAAAGAGGAACCCCTTGGCTGGCCCGAGGTGTAGGGCCGGCCCGAGGTGGCCACTCCGAGTGGGCTTGGGAAGCCCACTTCGGATGTGTGTTGGTGGGCTGCGGTGAGAGGGGAGTCCGCACCCTCTACCGCTGCAGCCGAGGTGGAGTCGCGGAGGAAGAGGAGTGTTGGTATGGCGATGCGCCACTCGCCCTATCCTCCGCGACTCTGACGGGGCCGCACCGTTAATGATGCGGTGGTGGTGGGGCTGCGGGGGGAGAGGAGTGTCGGTATTGAGAGGCGCCGCTCTCCCTACCCTCCGCAGTCGAATCTTGGTTGGCGGCGGAGCCATAGACCAGATCCGCCGCTGGGGCCAGGAAGGCCGGTGCTTCTGAGTGCTAGTTTTTCCTGGCCACATGGCCTTCGCGCATCGGACACGGGGGCGTCCGTTGCGCATGTGAAATTGACATTGTCGAGCTAGGTGAGAATAGCCTAAGCATCGGTAGCACTGGATTACCGGTGAATGATCAGTGGCTGGAACTATTTGAAATCCTATTCTTACTCTCTGATTTTGCAGTCTTCTTGTCCAGATCTGGGGAGTTACTTCCAAGATGATATTAGACGTGGAGCTTGTGCAACCCTTCGTTCTTCTGATAACTTTCACCTGTTTCTTTTCTGCCGTAATGTCATTTAGCAGTGTGCTAGGTACTCTGTTTAATTTTAGCTTCCTCGACCTTTCCATTCGTCAAGTCGAAGGCAAATCCGGTAAGACGAAGGAGCGGGTTTTTAGTGACTGGTCTGTACACTGTTAAGTTGTCAGTTGTGTGTTTGAGTCTGTCTTGGAGGATGTTTCTATCTCCTTCAGACTCGCAACCGATTAGGACCTTCTGGTTCTTGGCTTTCTTGATGTGGTTGATGCCAATACCTAATTCAACCACGTCAATCCCGCCTTCAACTTGTTTCATGATGTCATCGCTTGTACTTCTTGGATCGATCGATTCCACTATAATTGGATAGTTTGGCCTTGCTACCACCTCCGAGAACGTGCGTGGAAACTTTTTACGTTGCGGCATTGGTGAGTGCTGAGGAGGATCTATTTCATTTTCCTCTAGCAATTTATATTGTGTATTTCTTGGTTCTGTCTTTTCAACATGTGATTTATCTTTAAGCTCACTTCTGAGGCTCTCTATTGCTAGTCTGATGGGTGTTGTCGAGTCCACTGCAGTGTCTTTTAACTCCTTCATTTCCCTCCTCAGTTCTGCCAAGCTGGCCTGTACCGAGGGGAGCGAGGAGCCAAAGGCGGTCGAGGATAGGCTTTGATCTATGGCTATTCTGTTTACTTCTTTTTTCAACTCAGATATGGCTGAGATTAACAGAAGTTTGGAGTCAGTTATCTCCTGTTGCAGTTTCTCGACAGCATCGTTAAATTTTTGAGTGTTAACATTTACATCTCCCGTATTTGCTGAGATATTAGCAGGTAATTCGAATCGTTCTCTATTTCTGTCTATCTCCTGTATGGTGCATCGGAGCTCTTTGAGTTCCTCTGTGATGGAATTCCATTGATCTTGAACCGTAATCGGTGATTTACTGAGAGAGTTTATGTTATCTCGAAGTAACTTTACCTCTTCAGAGATAACGTTCATCTGACTTGCCAAGTTTGGGCTTGAGTTTGTCTCGCTTCGAATATTTGTTATTTCGCGCTTTTTGGCTGAAACTGCCTCACAGAGATCGTACGAGACAATGAGTCGGGTTGACTCAGTTTCCTTCTGGAGTTTCTCTATACTCTCTTTTAATGTGGCGTATTGACTCAAAGTTTCATGCATAAAACGAGCATGTCTTTGAGTAAGCCTTTCTGGTTCTCTTGAGACATTCGCCTTTTGCTTGCTAGATTCGAACATGTGTAGCATACGCGAGTCGGACAGCTTGAGTATCATCTCGTACAAGGTGTACAGACCCGCAACTACACTCTCACGAATTTCCCTCTTTAAGTTCCCTGACTTTTCTAAATCAGCTTTGGCTCTTTGCAAGATTTCATTCGCGTGTCTAGGTAATTCGTTTAGAAGCATACGGCTACCACCAATCGACCTTGTGGAGGCGTCGAG